TGATCCAAATGTTTTAAGACATATTTTTGGACAATAAATAGTTACACTTTAAAATAGAATAATTATTTGATGTGTGTATGTGTTACAACGATGACGAAACATAGAGGACAATACGGTGGCAACTTTAAAGGGAAAAAACATCAGCGTAGTAGTAGTAAAAGTCAAGATGGTGGTCTTTGGGGTCATGCAATGGATGCTGTTTTAGCAAAAAAGACAAAATCAAAAAAACGATTAAGTCCTTATGCCCGAAAACAACGTGGGGGCGGTGCAGGATTGGCGATGGCTGCGGGTTTAGCAATACCCGCTATTTTGGGTGCTGCTACAAAAATATTACCGGGTATCTTTGGTAAAAAGAAACAACAGGTGACTAATAATAATTACAACCGGCAACAACAACGTGGACCCCCCCAACAATATTATCGTCCCCCACCACAATATTATCGTCCCCCGCCACCACCACAATATTATCATTATCAACCAAGAGCCGCACCACCACGTTATCAACCAAGACCCCAACCACGTTATCAACCAAGACCCCCACCATCTAGACCCAAACAAAAAGGAGGACGTGTTAATAAAAAACGTAAACGTAAAACAATTTGGTAGAATAAAAAATGTAATAGAAATTATATAAGTGTAATAAAAATTATAAAATTGTATCATTTGTGGTTTATCTTTCATACCGTACACACAAGTATGAAGCGAGCACGAGAACAAGTCGATGATGAACCCATTGAGGTTCACGATAGTGGGTTTATGGGGCCTATGGTAATGTTTCCTACATTTCCACACAATGATACATTTGTGGATAGTCGAAAATTTAAATTAATGGCCGGTCCCATTGCTAATCCAGATGCTGAAGAATTTACATTTAAACATGCTTCTAATGATTTTGGTGTTATGGATCTTCGAAGTGCAAGAATCACAGCAAATATCACAATTACAACTGCTGCTAATGCTCAATTAGCAGCAACCCAGGATGTAGCACTTAATCAATCACCACTAAGATTAGGATGGAAATCACGTGAAGTATTAGTCAATAATCAACGCATTAATTCATTATCATCCCAGGAAAATGAAATTGAATTGATAAATCATTTAACACGTGAAACACCGCTTTTTTATAAAGCCGATGAAGATATAACCGGATGTATTCACAATACACCTGGCGCGGCTAATGTAAGCGATAGTATTGCACAAATGCGTGCTCCGGATCACGCCGGACACATTAATAAGGGTCTTGGCAAACGTTATCTTATGTGTAAAAGAGATGTCCCCATGAAATGTTATGATTTTATCAATGTAATGGGGGATAATAAACGTTATGTTGTTTCATCATTTGAAATGGTAATAAGATTAACACGTTTAGAAAAAACAAAAACCCTAATGGGTGATGCGGCACATTGTGCACTAGCAAAAATTCGTTATTCAGATTTAGAAATTCATATTCAAGCATTTAAACCCAAAGCACAATTAATGGCAGCCATTAATACTGCTATGGTTCAAAAAGGTGAAGAAGCCAAATATTATGTATGTCATTTTCGTTATGTTCCCATGGCTGTTGCCAATGGTACTCAAAAAATTTATAAAAATGATCTTTTTACTGGTGCCCGACCAACACGTATGTTTATCTATATACGTACACAAGCACGTTATAATGGGGCACATACGCTCAATCCCAATCGAATGATTTTTCCAGATATTGAATTTGTAGGTGTGAAAATTAACGAAGCGTTTATTGAACCCACCATTGAAAATTCACAAGAGGCCTATATTAATTTACGAAAAATTTTGAATCGTACATATGATGACATGCCATTTAATTATAAAGATTATTTAACCGATTATGGTTTTATTGCATTTGATTTATCAGAAAACAAAGATAGTTACAATCAAATCTTACCTAATGCGACCAGTGGTGTTGTGAGTCTTGAAATACGCCTTAATAATGGACTTGGCGCAGCAAGTCAATTAATTGTTGTGGGTGAATTTCGAAATCAATTATCCTGTGCGTATCAAACGGAAGCGCGTTTAAAATTCGCATTTTAAATGATTTATCATTCATATGAACAATGCCTGTTCGACGAAGAGGAAGACCAAAGACAAAAACACATCGAAATATTTTACATATACCCGGTGCAAGACGAGGTTATGTCATTGGCTGGGGTGGTAGTGCAATACGAACAGTTCACGTAAAACCTGTAATATCAAAATATGGATGAAATAAATGAATATCAAAGCGAGGAAGAGGAATTAGAGCCTGAAATTGAAAATAATGAGGAAAATGATAAAAATGAGGTTGAAAATGATGAAAATGTTGAAAATATTGAAAATCATGAAACTACATCAAGCGGTGGTGAGGAAGAAGAAAATTCCGACGAAGAAATATCTTATTCCGCCGATGATGAAGAAGAAATAAATAATGAAGCATCCGCTTTATTTTTAAAACAAATTTGGGATGCGCATTGTATGACAATTCAAAAACAAAAACAATCTAAATTTCTACCTGCTACAAAAAAATTCTTAGCTGCTGGTTTTACTCAAAAAGAAAAAATGCTTAATAATAACAAGCAATTAATTTCACATTTGGTCTTTTTATGTCGAAATATAGCCAATGGTAAAATACCTCTAAATATATCAGAGTGTGAAAGAGCTTTATTTATGTACATTTCTGATAAAGCTACACACAAGACAGACGTGCGTTTACGCTTGCTCGAGGAATTTTCAGTACAATATTATTGCAAACTTGCTATTAAACAAATAGAAAAATCTCGAGGTATTAATAGCGAAGACGATGGGGGACGATGTGAAACGTTTGATGTTGATAGACACCGAAAAATACAATACGATGATCAAAAATCTAGACCGACTGGTCGCAAACCGACAAATTCTAGACGAGGCAAAACAAACAACAGCCGAAGGGGAACTAATTGAAGGACATGCTAATATGATGGCCAGTGTTGCAAAAAAACAACCTCATGCTACAGATGATATTATTAATTATTCAAAAAAAAGACAAAATTATCGAAAAGAACTTGCTGAAAAAGCCGCAGCACCCCCTGCTGCTGCTGCAGCAGCTGGTGGTCCATTACCTAAAGCAGGCTCATTAGCAAGTTCCGAAAGATTAATACGGGCATTTCTTAAAAAAAGAGGTGTTACAGAAACAGATAAGGGAACAAAATTTCAAAGTAAAACACTTAATTTTAGTTTTGATGATATGGTTGCTGATCTTACAAAAAATGTAACAAAAAAAAAACAAATTTAAATGCAATCCAACATCAAAAATTATTGAAAGAATTAAAAAAATTAAATATGCCCGTTCATTATATACGTAGTGAAAATCTTAAAGGTCAATATCGTAATTTAAGTGAAACCGCGGGTCCATCAACGTCACAAGGAACACCGCCACCAGCCTATGAAACACCACCACCAGGTATTGTTACAGCACAACCTGTGTTTCCTGACTATCCGTTAACACCGATGAGTAAAAAAGGAAAACCACGTCCGTATATGTAAAATGGCAACATTAACGTGTTTTATTAGTAAATTTCTGGATACGGACAATTTAGATCGACAAGCACAAAGTGATTCAGATATATCACCACATTATTTGGGATGTTATCCTGCTGATGTAACACCAAAGGGTACCGCTAGACACCGATGTTGTTGGATATGGAATGTAGATCCCAAGGACAAACCTGGTACACATTGGGTTGCAGTTATACGAGAAAAGGAACTCATTTATTTTTTTGATAGTTATGGAAAAACACCGTTTTTCTTTAAACGAGCCTACTGGGAAAAATACTTTGAAAAATTAAAATGTAAAATGCAATTGTATAATACGTCACATCTTCAAGCCCATGTTAGTAGAACATGTGGTAGTTGGTGTTTGTTATTTTTAAAATCTTATTATACGGGGACACATATTATACGTAGTGATTTATTTACGTCTCAAATTGACAATCTAATGCAAAATGAACAAATATTACAACAAACTTGTTATTCCTTATTTCCAACTCTAAAAAAATTATATAGTAATAAATGTCTTACTAGTAAAGGACAAATATGTAAATCATATAGTGAAATTTATCAAATACAAAGTTAAAAAAAATTTTATTTGTTTATACATCATATACAATAGTTTCATCTTTAGGAAATATTCCAGTTCTTACACGTGTATTGGCGCATCCTTTAGGACATCCATCAAATACAATATAGCCATATTCTTTTTTACCCACATCATTAATTACTTGATGTATTTTATTTTTACATATTTTTTTATTCGCCGCAACCATTTCTACATCTCTATAACAACTCAAACTTTTACACATGATATGATATTGACTGTTTACACGACAATTTCGTAATTTTCCTGAACCATAATTTAAACTTTGACATACAAATATCACAGAGGCATTCGAATGATGGCTGTCGCGTGACGCAATATTATTTAAATTGGTAAGATTTACACCGTCGGTACCGGCAACAATCATCAAATCATCTAGAATTATTAAGGTACTCTTGCCCAATTTCTCTTTAAGGGTATCCATTGACGGGATGCCTGCATTACAATCGATAAACTCAAACGATTTTAATGTCGAGGTCTGTTGATTGTCACGAATGTTCTGTTTGATGTTGTCATAGTCGTACACCGAGTAAAGGTATAGTAGTTTGTCGATAGGTGGATGGATTAAAGTTTGATGATGTTTTATTATGTTCGCAATCAAATAGGATTTGCCGCTTTGAGAGGGTCCGCATAATGTAGCCATAAAAGGATGTTGAAAGGGTATTGTACAATCCGTCAAATTACGTCCCTAAGAAAAAGAATAATTTCATTCAATATACCCGTATGGTACGGTTGTAAAATCATCACGAATAATACGTTTATCAAATGTAAATTTAAATTTTTTCTCCACTTTTTGAACATTGATGGTTTGATTATTTGACCGCGTAAATTCCGTATAAAAGGTTGTGATTTTTTTACTTCGATCCTGTACACATTGTTCAATGCTATTAAATGTAATTTTCTTTTTAGTATCCCCTTTTAATGAGAAACCCTTAACATGAACAATTTCATCACGTTTTTTTTCATCATCTTTATTAATATATTCATTGGTTCGATACGAATAGGATTTTGGACCTGTAGCACAAAACATTTCTATCCATTTTTCACTTTTTGCTTTTTTATCATATAATTCATCGGTTAATTGCCCCAAATAATCACCGGTTTTTAAAACGTGTCCCTTTTCAATATTCTCCACATAAATTACAGAATCGGTATCGTAATATAAAACATCCGAACCTAATTTATGTAACACTTTAAATAATTCTAAACGTGCATACGCTGTTACAAATGCCGCAATAACAACATTTCTGTTCGGTAAAGTTACCAAAGACGAAAGTTTTCGATGTGTCGTACGTGCTACATCGTCGCTTATAAAATCTAGTGATGTTACCTCAATACTGGAATCATTAACTAATTCTAATAAATCATGAAAACGATCAATAAACGATACCACGGGTACATTTTCATTTTGTGCTAATTTACCCCATAAGGAATTTAATAACGCTTTCATAACTGTTCTTTGTCCGGGATTATAACAAATTTTACTAGCATCCAATTGCACACCTTCATGTTTCAAATATTCCTTTACATAATCATCGACTTTTTTTTTTATCTACATTCCCCTGAACATCATAGCAATTTTTAGGCAACCCACTGCTTTCCTGTTTTAATCTCATAAAAGTGTTGACATATGTGTCAAAAATTTTCTCACGCTCTCTATAATGATAGACTTCGTAAACTTCCATGACCTTATAGCCGTGTTTCAAGGCCTCTTGTATTTCAAGACTTGTCCATGTACCGTATAATACACGTTCCTCTTCGTTATGTGTGCATACATTACACAACTTATCCGCACAAGTACGACATAATGGAAATGTTAATTTTGTAGTTCGATAAGGTATAACAGGAAATAATAGATTTCTAGGGGGTAATATTTTACATTTAATCAATCCAAATATAAACCCCAAATTTAGTTTACGACATTTTTCAATACCACGCGTAATTTCAGGATGTTTTACTGGAAATACATTAATTTTTTGAACATAGGGATACAAGGAAGTAAAATCATAATACCGTATTTTTTTTTCACATTCCCCAACGTACATTACTGCCGGTGAAACTCGACCCCCAAATAAAGCATCTCGCAGATTAAGATTAATGTTCATAAAAAAATCTCTCTCTCTTAATTGGGCAATAGTATTTTTAGTAAAATTATTAGCGGCTAAAAAATTACACTCCCACATTTCAATTACTTTATACCCTTGACTTTCAAGTTTTTCTGTAATACGACGTGTTCGTTCCCGTAATGTATAGAATTTTTCATTAACAACCTCATTAAATAATTCCCCATTATAGCATTCCTCACAACCGTGAAAAAAACACCCATGAAATTGATAGATGGTTTTTGTTACAGGACAATATCCATCAACATAATGACCGGCAATACTTTGTTCTCCATCAGGATGTAATTTACTATATAATGTCAAACCTAAATCGCTTTCAACACTTCGTAGCCAATAGAGGGCAATTACACTTTGATTAATATTTCCCCCATATCCTTGTGCAGGTATTTGACCTATAGTTTCTTCATTTAAAAAATTAGTACGATATACTTTCAATGCAAGTCCTGCAATTGTATGGCAGGTTTTATCATAAAATGGAAATACATTTGTTATATTTTTAATTAATCGTGCAAATATAATACACCCCTGTCGAAGTATATCCACATCCAGACGACAATAATAATACATGGCCTCTTTAAAAACATATGGTTTTTTTTTTTGTTCTTCATACCAAGCGTCAAAATCATCACGTTCATCAGTTCCCTCAGACGGTGGGTCAAAATATTCCAAAGCAACCATGGGCCCCACATAATTTAAATCGTAGAAAAGATAAGGATGAAACCCTTTACAAATATCTGGAATACCTAATGCTTCGGGAAATTTTTTTAACCCCATATTTAAAAATAAAAAACTATCCAATACTTTTAAATTTCGATCTTCTAATTCCATGCACATAATTTTATTCCCATTCATAATACATTGTGGCACAATGTTTCTTTCCACTAATAATTCTCGAAGTAAAAAGACCGTATCAAAACGACCCCCATTATGAGCAATCCATACACTATTTTTAGGTTGAGCATACATGAAATCAATAAATTGTTTGGTAATGCAATCATTTTGTTTTTCTAAAATATATTGTCTATAACCGCAACAGGGTACACAGTCTACGGATATATCACATGTTACGTCTTCAGCATGCGGTACAAACTGTTCACTATTTCGCACAAAAGGTATTTCATCACAAGATTGACACACTTTTTGAATAACGGCATAAAAAGGAATCATATATCCCTCATCATCTCGACGTGTTTCAAAATCAAAAAAATAAAGTGTCGGTAAATTTGGTTTTTTAGGTGGTGTAATAACTTTCATAAAACATTGATGTGTTTTTTTTTTAACCGCATTACAATGTTTGCAATAAACCATATCACAATTATGAGCAGTTGTTTTTTTCCCCCCCATGACCGTCATACGCGGAACCTTTTTATAACACGTTGTACAAAAGAACATATGCTGACACGGTGTTACACTATATCCTTTTTCCCGACCCTTTTTAAAAACTCTTTTTGTAAGATGGGTACTATAACAATCACGATTTTTAAAATTTACACAACATTGTGGACATTGAATAAAAAATCCTTCCTCGTCCGGACATTTTTCACAACCCCCATAACACTTTAAACATGAAAAAGATGTACGGCAAACATGCGTCTGGGAATGTTCCCAATGTTTTAAGTAGGTCATGCATTTAAAACAAAATCTACCCGCAGACATATGTAAAAAAGTATTAGGCGATAACACTAAATCATAATGTTTGTCATTAAGCCATAAAAATATAATTTTTGTATTCATAGAACAAATTTTGTCTGTACCCCGCATACGCGAATCGTATACAATATCATCATTATTATTCTTGGAAAAAACAACTAAATCAATATCATGCTGTGCTAAATATCGCTCGTAAACAACGGGTAATTCATTAATACAGACACCACCCACGGCTAATCCGCATTGTTCGTAAACGTCGGTAATTTCGTCGTCTGTATAAAGTGAGTCAAGCGGTGTATTACGATTAAGATTTAGTTTATCGTGTCGTTCATCTTTATCGATAAAAGAGCGACCCGTCAATAGTGCCAGGGCAAAACAACAATCTGATTTTGAAACCACTTGAAAAACACCGCTTCGAATTTCACGACCATGTTTTTGTACTAATTTTTTTCGACCGCGTCCTACATCTGTACCGTTTTTACCCAATGATCTATAGATTTTTTTCTTTTTTACAGTTTCTCTGGTCGCTCGCGGTACATAACTATTTGGAAAGATATACAATGAAACGGTTGTACTCCAGCCACCATCAATTACCTCTTGTGCATTACTTTGCATATGTTTTTCAAAAATATCAAAAAACATCTCCGTATTAAAATCAGAAACATTTAAAATAGCCGTAGAAAAAGGGGTACGAGGTGCCTTTGAGATGTAAAAACGTGCTTTATCAGTGGGTGAACTAGCTATAAAATTCATTGTATTAATTAAATAACTAAATATATCCGTAAGAGAATTATAAAATTCAGGAAGTGTGGTTATATTTCCCGCACCTATTCTAACACTATAAACATATTCATTATAACCTAAGCGACGATGTGTCCGTAATAAATCAACACGAAAAGCATTTTGCGGTACTTGTTGTTGTTGTTTTTTATTTCTTTCTACAAGATCAGCAATTTCTTGAATATCTCTATCTTCTATATTATAGTTTCGTTTTCCACGCGATGTTTTTGTAGTTTGTTTTTGAACACGATTCTCGCGAACCATTTTTGCAATATCCACAATATTTTGCGGTGTAATTTCAACTCTTGTATTATTAAATCTTACCATGTCCACAATATCATTGAAAGCAACAACACGTAGTGTACTCGGGTTGTTCGTAAACACTATCGATATTTTCAGCGCCGTCTACACCTTCCTCCCCGACGACCACGTCATTACTCCTATTTATAAAAACACATCGTACTTTAATAAGTGGACTATCACTACCCGTAAAAAACTTTCGCACCGCAGAACCCATTTCAACCTTCAGCTATACAACAGCAATAATGGGAAGTAACGCTTTAACACACATTACTATATACATGAAAAATGAATATAGTACAGATGACACGGATAAATACATACCTTCGTATGAAATTTCAGAGGATTCCAATGATCAGGTCATAGTTTCAGACCGTATTTTTCCCGAAGCATTTCAAGATTGGTGTCGAGATGGTGGGCATATAGTACAAATACAACCGTGGGATATACGGGCACGCATAAAGACCCTTCACGACGAACTATGTATAACACCGTACGTCGAGTCTAAAATGATAAGAATAGCAGAACATATTGAGAAAAACATTGAGAAATACATTGGTATCGGTGTTGTTTTTTAATATGCCACGTCAAAAAACTACACAAAAACGTCAAAGATTTATTTTAAACTTTTTAGATAAAATTTACGAAGCGCCTCGCAAACAGAGAGGCAATCAAAGTATTCGTAGATCACAGCGTTGCATTGCAGACACTTTAAAAAAACAACAATGCAAAAAACGTACAGCCCATACTAAAAAATGTTGGATTCATTTGGCCAAACAAGATAATTTACGTATTAAACCATCCAATATTATTGCCGGTGGAAAAGGACTCTACTCGTGGAAAAAACAAATTCCACGCGGTAAGAATATTAGCAAATTTACGGGTCGTATAACAACGAAAGAGGAATTAGATCAACTTTACGGCGACGTCACTGCAAAATATGCTGTTTGTAATCGTCGAGGAAAATGTATCAATTCAAATTATACTACAGACGGTGCCGCAAGGTTTGCTAACGACGCTCGTAAAACACCATTTAAAAATAACTCGCAAATAAGAGGACGGCAAATACTTCGTTTAAAAGCAAGTAAAAAAATTCCGCCACATCGGGAAATTTTCACATCCTACGGTCGGGAATACTGGAAATAAATACTTCATGATACTTAAATAACACTATCAGTTTCAACATGACACGAACAAAGCTACCCGATCTTAATGCTACACCACATCTTAAAAAAAAAACAGTCGCTGTACGTCAAAAACAACTACAAATGCGACAAATGTTATCAAATCCAAGGGCTTTTCTACGACAGTTTGGAAAACGTTTCATAAATGATAAGAAGAAAGCTGTGAAAAGAAAAGTAACCAAACGAGTACAAGATGCTGATCGTGTTTTATTTGGAACACAAAGTGGGGGAAAAATTCAACAAACAATTAGAAAACCACATAATAAAATACAAATCCAATATCAATATCATCAATAATGTAAAAAAATATTAATAAAAATTACCTTTACAATAGCCTTGATGTCTTTTTTTGTCTGCACACACGATATTTTTCAAACGACGTTTCTTAAACCGAGGCGTTTATATGAAAAAATCTTGCACAGAGCCATATATATATATATTTACATGTAGTAAAGGAAATCCGCCACACCCCATCATTTTTGAAATCTGTCCGTTATTATTCCAATTGAGTCTTAAATTTTGGTCTTTTATATATATAAAATAATAACGCGAACATTTTATAAATTTTTGGTTTAATTAATTTTTTAATTAATACATTTTTTTTTAAAATCTAGTTCTAAGCCATAAGAGAAAAGTTGATTCGTTCAGCATCACGACCAAGGACTGAATAAAAAATCATACCACCGTCCTTTAGATTTTATCATAAGGTAGTCTACTCAATGCGTCTGCATATTCACATATTTTACGACCCTCTTTATAGGGTGCACATATAGCATAATTTTTATTTTTCATAAAATCATCAACTAAATATTTATACGGAATCAGATCATCTTCTAAATTACGATTTCGACCGCCCAACGCAAAAATTCCCTGTTCCCTTATGTTTGATTCTGAAAGTTCATGATGTCGACAAAGTAACCATATTTGTACATGTGGTAGAACCATGGGTAATTTCACATCCTTCAACCAATTTATATTAAAACCTGCCGAGGAAAGCTTCGAATTTAATCTTGCCCTCGCTACACGATCTGAAAACTGGACTATTCCCACAATCTTGGTCAACAATTCTATGTTATATTGTAAATATTTCCAATAAGTCATCCCCATTTCCAGCAATACATTATTCACATCAACCCAATTCATAACATTCGACAACGGTGCTAAGGACTCAAAATAATACGTACGAGACATCATTTTATAAAAATTTTATTTTTTCCTTTTACTTTTATTTACATGGTTGTACTACATACCATTACCATATATAGTCATTGTCGATATTTTTCAAAAAATGGATCAATAATTTCTACACAAATACTATCACATACATCCCCTATTTTTAGGGGTGCCCTATAAGCATTCCGACGCATAATTTCAAAATCACCGTCCATAATATATGTAAAACAGGGTACAGAATCTCCTAAAAGTTTATCACCAGCACAAGAGGGATTCATAATTGAATTTAAACTATCATTTTTAACTAAACATGTACAAAGCATTTCTACTAATACATCTACAAACACATTACAGCGACGACACACTAAGAGATGTCGCATAATTAATTTAAAAGTTTTTCCTTTCAGTTTTTCATCACCAAACGGGAATATAGCCTCATGGACACCCAATGCATAAATCACCTCTCTTTCTTTACCATAGGGCTCTGCCTGTCGTACTACAGCTTCGTATAACTGTTTTGCATTCACAAATATACCCACATCACAAAGTACATCATGAATTTGTTTATTACACTCGCCGACACCGACATGAAAGTAGTCTTGCGAAACTACATACTCTTGTTTAATACTGACAAAATCGCGACGTACAACCATAACATTACCGCGTTGCAAAATCTGTCGACAACAAAACTTTGATTTCGCCAAATACATAGACCATACGTTGTTTACCACGCATACGTATACGTATGGCAACCATTCTGCGGGAATAATATAAAATAATTTTTGAGGACGACCATCACGAGCATCATCATCATCCGCATATTCATCATAGTCAATCGAGCTGTCACGTTTGTGATTTTCAAGCACAACTATTGCATAGTTTATTTTTTTTGGATCAACTAGAATCAAATCGTGAACACCGCCTAAAGTACCTTTTAACCACACGAGTGTTTCTTTTTTAACAGACAGTTTACCGGTTTCAGGATCCTCTACTAACGTCGATGTCTCGGCGCTAGAATACCGTTTAATATGAATTTCCTTCACGCCGAGACCCTTTTTCACTTCTTCAAGCTTTTTGCCGTACAAGTAACGACATGTTGCATACAAAGACCATAACACGGGATCATAAGGATAATTTTCAAGTAAAAGGCCTAATGCACTAAGATTTAGTGGTACGTTGTAACAATTCATAGTGTCTCTAAAAACTGTCCGAATAATTTCACTTCGTGTCGCGAACAATGATATTCACCTGTTATATGATAGGGGCAACATTCATATTTCACCTTGTACCTTGTCAATAAACACTCATATTTTGGACATCCTAAAATTTCCATATTAATACATGGTATCTTCAATCTATTTAATAAATCACGTTCAATATTTCCACCCTTGTACGCTACCAAATCGGCCTTTTCAAATATTTTACACAACAAAACCTGTATTTCATGATAGTGATAAAAATTAGCATCAAGACGATGTCTTTGAATGGGTAGACCATGTATTACCCTTATTTGGTAAAGGATTGCACGATCATTTTCATCAAACAGCTTGACGTTTGGAATGTAAATCTGATACGTTGTAACAATATTTGTATTTCGACATAATACCGAAACTTCACGTAAAAAATGCTTCTTTTGCCATGTATACGCCTCACAATCTATAATATGTGTAATACGTTTTTTTAAAACATCCGGTTGAACATTTTTTAAGACATTTTCATTTATTTCACAATGCGGCAATTGAAAATACACATCCATTTCTGTACACGCATATACACACAATAAAAAACATTTATTCCCAAACTTCTAAAGCATCCAAACTAACACATAAACATACATTTAAATCATTACATTGACATTGCGTTATCATATTGTTCTTAATACGTTTTAACCTTCTAAAACAATACATTATTTTACGAACTAAATGTGGTGAAACTAATAAACTATAATGATTTTCAAAAATATCTAATATACCCTCTACATCAATAGCTTTATGTACATATACCCAATTATACATATCCAAAATACATCTACGAATTTTAGATTCATATATAATCGCATCAAAATTCACATCTTTATGTTCACAGTGTTCATAATATATAGTATACCCTACAGTTCGTTTATAAACCCCATTAGCAGGGTGTATACCCCTATACGTACAAGGTGTATACCCATATTTTATAATAAGATTAGCAAATATATGTGTATAAATATCCTTATTTAATTGTTTAAAAGTTAAATTAATCTTTAATATACGATTCGGGTCATCTCTTGAACAAAATGTTTCATACAACCAATTGTTCACACCATTATAAAATCGATCATAGATCATAATCGGTTGTCCGTATAGCATCCATCGCATATATCGTAACAGTTCATAAAGTTTCTTCTCCTCCAGGGCAGCGGGCTCTAAAAAGCACCGCATTATCATATAATTGTTTCGCGTCCACAAACACTTCGCTACATCTGTAGGGTATAGGGCACGCGTACACTCTTCGTTGAATCCACCACAAGTACAATTACTTTGACAATAATGTTTCACAACGTGTTGCAACTTTAACGCATAACATATCAATTGTATTAATCTTAGAGAAACGTGTGCACCAAGGTTGTTTGATATTCGTCTCTGTATATACGCTTCGTGATAAGCATTATAAGATAAGGTGTATTGTACAATTTCATCCAAACATGCACGCACTTGCGGATTTATAAATGAAGAGTCCCATAATGGTGACCATGTAGTACACCTTTTTATTGATACAACTGTACGTTGACCGCTGGTCACAATATAGTTCCCCGTAGTAACATTAGTAAACTGTACAGGATAAATACCGACATATATTTCTGCAGTTATATAAGCAAAATACCGCAAATCAATTATAGCGACCTTTATTATACGTTGATCAGAAAATCCAATTTCATAACTATAACAATAAATGTAATATTGATCCAAAGGTACCAACCGATCACCACATAACAAACGTGTCTCACTTAGTAAACATGGTCTTGCCATATTTTTCTTTTTATCTTCAAGAATATTCATATACATATCATACAATTTTGTACTTATAGCAATATATCGATGATTTATTAATTTTTCGGTTATATGTATATTCAAATAGGGTTTATGCTTTAACAAATGACAATTTTGAATCGCTTTCCATTGACAACAATTACAATTTATCCTCATTTTTTTTTGCTCATACGCGATGATCAAACAACCTTTGAAAACCCTCAAATATTTTTGAAGAATATAATATTTTCCTATACCCATCATATACCACCACATCCTCATTTATCTCACATAACTCAATATTTAAATACTCTTGTATATATGTGGCTAACATATGATAATAATAACCATTACCCCCTTCAGACAACGAATACCCCTGAGCACCCCCTTCAACCTTTATTTCATATCCAAGACTTGTACTTGTAATAAACACCCTATACACGACACGATCACCACGATCAATAGCCCCCAATATCAAACTATCACGACGAGATGTCCATCCCAGAATATACACATAACACCGTAACCGATATATACGCTCTTTAAACATCAAAACCATATACTGTTTACGAAATAAGATTGAAGATACCCCCATCATTTGATTATGGGGGTTAAAAAAAGCTAAAACCATCTTATTTACAATCTCTGCATCTTCTTCAAAACAAGGCGGTGGTACTCTAGAAAATATTTAATTTATATTAATCTATACAGTTTACACAATTCACGGATCACACTATCCTTTACTAATAATCCCGTATCATTTACAATATTTTGTATTACTTTATTTACATTTTCAACCGAATATTCATTTTCATCAAAAAATCCAATATTATGAATTATTACATCCATATCCTCTTTATCCCTTCTAGAACCATTACATTTAAAATATCCTTCAAAATCCTCGTTATAGCGATTTCTAACAAGATATTTAACTAACACATCGTGGACAAGCACTACCTTTCCTATACTAATATATTCACCAACGTATATTTTGGGGTTCATGTAAACATAACCCTTGATACCGGAATATAGAATCTCTTCAGTTAAAATGTTCACACACCATGACCTGTACTCTTCTCCATACATGGGTAGACGTATTTCCCTTGTTTGAGTTCGCTGCTCTGTTATTTTTTCATGTAAATTTGCAAACATCTTATACACCTTATCATCCCAAACAAGACGTATCCACTACAAAAAAAAAAAATACTCACGAATCAGTAAAATGCTTTCCCAATTCAACATTAATTTCCAGCGTCGGCCATAGACTAACCTCTTCATCAGTACTCTTCGTATTCATTTTCGCAATAATACAATTCTTGAAAATTATTTTTTTCAAACCACAACAACAATTTCAAAGCTTTTTTTGGACCAAACAAGACGTAACAAAAAAGAAGTAAAACCACGGCAACCACCACCCGTTGCCAAACACGATTCATCTAGAAAATAACAAACATTCCATTACCAAATTTAGCTATTAACCTTGCAATAGCAAAAAAAAATACCCCGTGCAAACATTGACCTTGAACAATTCTAGTGCCCAAATTTGGATAATAACGCTGTAAAAACATAAAATACATCTTAAACATTCCATTCCCCTATATGGAATATTACGTCGCCAGCTGTCGAAAATATCATAATATATTAAAGATTTACAACACGCTAGACATTATTTACGCTACCACCGTCAAGATGACCACAACAGCATCGCCAGAGTTCTTACAATTTGTAAATTACATGCAATGTACATTATGTGAGGGAAATTCTCAAATTCTCACAAATTTATACGTGAATTACAACACCTATCAACCACCAATTCCTTGCGGTAGTTCTGCAGAAAAATTTATCTTCTGGAAACAACTCTACGATCAATACGCACAAGAACAGGAAAAAATCGCAAACGCTAACCTTTTCACAAGCCAAAATAAACCCTCTGACCCACGTCTCAAAGCCGTCAAAACCGAACTGCCTGATGATTTAACAAGTTTATGCGTTAAAAGCGAAGACACACAGCTATTCCAAACCTTCAACCTTCAAAATGAAAAACATACATCACCACCGCCACCCTACAACGCGCATCACATCAAAACCGAATCTGCTACGCCACACAATTCGCCCGTGAAAGAAAGCATGTCAGACGAAATCACAACCACAAACAACATTCAAGATGTCGAAACGATTATCGAAGTACTAAATGAATCACCGCCACAAACCTCGGACGAAGAAGAACAAGAAAAAATACCTACCCCAAATTACAAGCGATCCCCAAGCCGTGGTAAAAATATCGAACAGCTCAAAGCAATTCACGCAGAACATGAAAACAAAGTGAAAGAGAAACCAACAGCGCCACCTCGAAAACGAAAGAGACCCGCACCGTCCCGTGAAACTTCCGGTCCTGGAAGACAAACCAAAGACGTTGCCATTATACGAGATGCGAAAACAGTCGACAGTGATTCCGACGACGCACTTGCATTTCGTGAAGTAGCGCTTTTCTCCGGAAGCGGTCAAATCCGAAAAAAGACAAGATTACTAACAAAACACGACAAAGACATTAAGTGTTTTGCAATTAAACACTATTTACCCTTAGAATATATCGCTGAACAAAAAACAAAGGCTTTCGCGAAGATAAAGAAACAAAGACAAAAACTAAAAACATATAATTACATTGAACAGAACTTACTAACCAGTCTTGAGGAAATACAAAATTTGTAAAATGATACCCTATTAATAATTAAAAAATGTAAATTTAATAAATATTTTTTTACCTAATAAATGAAAAAAATCAATTATTAACAGTTTCCATTAATATTTAACCGTTTCCACCCGCACGGCGCCCGCAGATGAGAAAACCACCCTAAAAACGGGCGCATACCGGAAATAACGTCACACCGGAAATAACGTCACACACATGTCAATGTCACGTGACACCAGGGCATAAGACAAGCGCCAAATTCAAATACAAATCACTTCGGTCAAGCAAGGCTTTGGGGTAAGATGATAATTGGCTCGCGCGCGCGTGGTGTGTGTTACGCAACACACATCATTGTGCATCATATATACGGGACGTCATGGGGAGGTAAAAACTCCCCCCGTCCGGGAACACACTTTTTCACCTCATTTTGACAACTCGACACTTTTTCATAATACTATTTTATAATAAAAAAAAAAATTCCCACACCCCCACTTTTTTATCGAGTACTTTTATCACTACACTACTGACCTTATCATATTCCTAGGCTCGCATATCTAGGGGGGTCCGGGGGCATGCCCCCCCGAACATTTTTTGAAATTTGAACCCCGGAAATGCCATTTCCTGCGTTCTGAGCCCATGATTCTGGCCTAAAATTTGGCCTTAACAAGGTCATATTTTAAACACAAAGTAACAAAAAAACACACAATAACTCTTCTTGGTATCAGTGTTCAAGTTTCTGTTTCATGAAACGTGGCCGGGGGTGTTTTGACATGGAAAAGTCGGCTTTCGCGACTGAGTACATTTAATATTCTCGGCCGGTCCCTATTTAAATTAATAACATATTGCACGCGCAATGCCGCAATATGACTTTACAGATTAATATCTTCGGTTAGGCTAATGCTATGAAAACAAAATACTACCGTTCGGTTCATTGAAAGAATATCTCCTAATTCCTAACAATAGTTTTAGTCAATAGGCCTATAGCGATTTATGAACTTTGAGAGGTCAAGCAATATCATATATTTCACTATATTACTCAATTTTCTCGAACAATGTATTACTAGCCATACCTTTCGCCGAACATAACTTCGGCCCCTTCGGACATATCCTTTTCGTAATAGTCTTGTTCTAATTGGCATCCAATACACTATTTATAAAGTGTTATTTCAAGGACGTCTTCTGAAATTATGTAAGGCCATCACTCACTCAGTTTGTGCTCAGTTACGTTAGAAGAAATGCGGCTGTTAGCAATATGAGACGAAGTTTCCGAGCGGTTCACGATTATTTTATTTCTTGCGCAATCAAAATACAGCCATAGTATCAGAGGGTATCCGACGTCATAGATACACGTCCTGTGATTGGCTGGATACCCTCCAAGGTATCCAAATACCTCATTAAGTTACTATTTTTAGTAACATTTGAACTGCAGACCGTATCAGAACACCGCAGACGCATTTAAAAACATTTTTCCGATCGGGTTACGTAACCTCGGGTTATGCCTTCGGAAAGCTCTCGGCTCATCTTCGTCGAAAGTAATTCAATGCTTTAAAAACACGTCTAATGTTACATTTAGAGCTGTGAATTTTAAAATTTACGAAAGAATTTGCCTTCGTTCATCTTAGTAAACTCAAATTTTCACTATTTTTGTAAACAGAAATGAATTGCGTGAAAATATATTAATATTGAAATTTTCCCCAAAACTATTTTAGTATGCATAATCGGAAAAATCTGACCGTATCTTGAGCTACACTCGATACCCCCTGGATCTGCCCCTGCATACAGTGGCTTGCACATGGCTTTATTTTATCTTTTGTTAATTAATCCAAGCGTACACATTATGGCTAGCAGAATTTACTTAGGATAACTCGAAAAACTGCATCTGCAACACATCACAAGCTACATAATAAAATTAAAGTTTCCATTAATCTCTTGCCTGGGAAAATCCCACACTTATTGAGTGTCATAACGAGTTTGCATAATAGTTTACTTTACGCAATATACTACACGTTCCGGTACAATACACATATTGTACACATGGTGTATACCTGTATGTCATATTCAGTTATCTTTTCACCTATAAATTAACCACCTAGTTCCACAAAATTCTCACTGTAGAGCACTCGTTTTTCTCTTGTGTCTTTCATTCTGTTTTTAAGGCGAACAACAAACTTGAATGTGTTCTGGTGATGTTCACTCTTGCTATCTAAAACATTCTACCTAATGAACTGTCTATATGTATTGTAAATGTTCCTGCATGAACTGCGAGGACGAAGTTTATACTGAGATTTAACTAGTTTATATATAACACTCAGAAGCTTTGTACAATCCAGTGGCGAATTCAAAATATAACCTAACTTGGATACTTAATAAAATGGTTATAAGCATGTTATACTGGCTCAAGAAAAAGCCTCTGTCTAGACTATAAACAACAGCTAGTTCAAAATGCAAGCCTATTTGAAAACCTACAGAGTAAAAGGGTATAAACACTACTACTAATACAACCTTCGCTCCAACTCTTTATATTTTTCTGTCTTAGGTATGGTGTTGTTTACCATGATGCTGATTCTTCTTACACTTGTAAAGATAGAGCTATGTGGGGAGCTGCTGGTAGTCTTGGTCCTTCCCACGTTTTCCTGCACTGCAGGTTTTTTCCTGGACTCCCTGATTATCCAGCCTTAGCATAAGTGTCTGCATCCAGTGAACAGCATTCTCCAGTGCACCTCAGGCTTTTTGACCTCTTCATCCTCGTCCGTAGACAGGTTATTTTATTTGTGCGCGTGGAGTACTAAAGGATTGACAGCTACCATTGAAATTGGTCACAAACCGCCATTATATAAGAGGGTTGTTTCCGGTTTCTTTTCTTTACTTTTTTTATATTTTGACCTATATACTATTTAATTAAACACAACACAAATGTGCCAGAACACATTGAGAACTCGGCCAGTTTTTCCGCAAGAGAGTCAGTAGCACTCGACCAGCTGAAACACCACAACAGGTAGTGTGCTAACAAACTGATGGAATCAGAAACTCAAACTTGTTTTACACAGTCAGTTAGCTTACTACCCTGCCCCCCATTTCAGACCCTCCCTCTTTTTATCCAGTTGCTCCTCCATCATTTACTGCTCCTAGGCGAACGCTCCTCTGCTTCTGCGCATATTAATAAATATGCCTAATGCTTAATTCGGCTCGGCTTCCCGTGGTTCAAATAACAATCTGTACTTTGTACAGATTGTCATTAATGGCGGGGAAGTGCTGTCCTTTTGGACAACACTTCGCCACGTGTAGTGTATTTTTTCAGGTTGCAGTGCGACCTAATGACCTGACCTACAGACTCAATGGGTAAGTCATTTCACTTGAGTTACCATACGTTTTTCACCAGTTCAACTAGTACTCAACATCAACGAGCTGACTGACCTGAATGGGGGTTTGCCTGTTCCCCTGTTATCTAGAGGTTCACCTGTTCCTCTGAAAAACCTACAGTTTTTGCATGCTCTGTCAGGTATCGAGTACCCATACTGTCTCAGTATACCAATGGTGGTCCCCAGACCATCAGGACTCATATGTCGCTGAACAACATGCACAGAGCCGCATCACTCCCTCTGCAATCTAGAGGTCTGCCTGTTCCTCTAGGTAAAACATAGGTTAGTGAGAGCCTCTAGACCCTCTATGCCATAAAGATCTGTCTGCTGTGTGTTGTTGTTTTCTGGGCGTTTTTTTGTGCTTTTTTTCAAACTGCGGTTTGGATGCCAGTTATTTCAACATATTAAACTTCATTAACACCCTTAACAATCACCGAATCTGATGTTATTTTTTTCAAAGTAATAAAATGTTGTAGCCAACCAGCGAACTGCATTGGTGGTCGAGTTATTGTCACATTTGGTTTACAAATGCATGAAAACATAAATCAAAATGACAGTAATCAGTCGAATACATATCGAAGTATAAGTATTGCTCCTGATTCTCCTCCGGCATGAGAGTCTATCTCAACTGATGTTGGGCAAAGTAGACATAGAGACTGAAGTATTGATGAACAATCCAGATCTTGAAGAACCTATGCTCAAGTGGCAAAATCTCCTCCCCCTGTTAACAGGATTAATGGCAAACCCAGTACGGATAATAATACAGAAAATATTATGCAAGTCCCTGTGACAGCTCGGAAAATGAATGAACAAATTGATGATAGTGATGGGTTTATTGGGATTAAACGAAAGCATAATAGAATTAAAAAGTTCCTCTTGTCCGGGATTGCTGAGAATGTTAATGATCAGGATATTCTATGTTATTTGGAAAAGCAAAAGGTAATACCAACATACTTATCTCTATTTAAAAGTAAACGGAAAGGTTAAATTTCTGCTAAACTTCATGTCCAAGCAAATTTATGCTCTTTGATTGAAAACGAAACATTTTGGCTTTGTGAAATGCAAACCGTGGAAACCAACATCTACTGATCGTAGAAACAACAGCCCCCAGAGGAAATCCTTTCAACATATGTATAATGGCTCATATTCCCATCAGAATGTCTCCGCGATGGCAGAGGATTAGGCGAGTGAGGCATAATCCTCAAAATAAAATATCTGTAAACATTTCACATGCAGTCAACTCAAACATCATAATGAATAACCAAAAACATTCATTTAACAAAATAAAGTTATCTCATCTCAACGTGCAGTCAATTAGAAACAGAAATCATTTAATTCATGTACGAGAACTAGTTGTTGACAAGAAACTAGATATCTTGGCATTATCAGAGACATGGCTAAATTCGTCCACGACTAATGCCGAGGTAAAAATTCAGGAAAACAACATATACAGACTTGATCGTAAGCACAAAAAGGGTGGCGGCATATTAGCGACCATTCTATGATATATTGTACACTTAAACTAAGAGCTGATAAGCCTCGACTTGAATACAAGGATGTGAGGAGTTTTAAGAACTACAACTCTGAGAGTTTCAAGGCAGAACGGTCTCAACTTTTTATGAAACCTATCGTATTAATGATGTAAATGAGAAAATTGATCATTTCAATCAATTGTTCATAAATACTCTGGACAAACACGCACCTATCAAACACATCAGAATTAAAGGCAGACTTAACCAATTTATTAAGTACTGTTTAATAAACGAGCAGGAGTGTTTTATTAGGTTTAAAGCCATGAGCGTGCAGCGCGAGTGGCTTTAGACCTAATAAAACATGACCTGCAAGTTTATTGAACGGTTTCAAACACGACTACAAATTCAATAGATTTACTGCCTTATTAGTATTCTTTATATAAAAAATACTGAGGACACGACTACAATAGATACTGCCTTATTAGTATTCTTTATATAAAGAATACTAATTAGGAGTGTTTTATCAGGTTTAAAGCCACTGCACATGACATATTATGGTTAACATGATTTGCCAATAAGCTTATGAATTATTAGTGAGTGTTTGAATAAAGAATTAAAGTGCACAATGAAACTGAGAGACAAAAAGCTGAGAATTTTTCGCCTCTCAAGTAACACGGAAGATTGGGATGTCTATAGGCAACTTAGGAATTCTATAAAAACATCTTTAGGAGCAGCAGAGTCCAACTTTGTCCGGAATCAAATTGAGGAATATAAAGGTAATTCAAGATCTATGTGGGAAGTGATTAGGGGGTGTCTGCCGAGCAAAGATTCAGAAAAACCTGTTTACCAGAAAGACCACAAAAAATTAGCCAATGAATTTAACGAATATTTTGCTTCTGTGTGGAAGATTGCACCCGAGAAGGACAAGAGACTTTCGGAAGTTAACAACATTCAGATAGCAACTGCTTTACCACCTGCAAGACACAGATCTTCTCTTGATCTGTTTGAATTTAGAACAATTATTTTAAATAGTCCATCAAACAAAGCTACAGGTGCCGATAAGATAAATATTCAATTCATTAAAATTCTCTTGAAGTGATTTTAGATCCTGTTACGGATATTATCAACTGTTCCTTGATGACATCAACATATCCTTCAATGTGGAAGATAGCAGAAGTGGTACTGCTACACAAGGAAGGGGATCCTGAAATCGCTTCAAATAATCGACCGATTTCACTGCTGTCATGTTTGTAAAAAATATGCGACAAAGTCGCACTGAATCAGTATACAGAACATCTAACAAACCACAGATTATTGATGGAGCATCAAAGTGGTAACTGGAAAAACCATTCTACCGAAACACTTAACATTGCAGTGACAGACATGCTGTTGGAAGCTATGGATAATAAACAGTTATCTATAGTTATATTGTTGGATATGCTAAACATAACTATTTTATCACTAATATTGAGGCTGCACGAAAAGATCCAAGGAAAACTTGGAGACTAGTCAACGATCTGAACTCTCGTAAAGTGAGTGATGTAACCAGTGTCAAGAAAGTCAATCTTGATGGTAATGAAGTCACTAATGAGGCTGAAATTTCGGATGGCTTTAATTCATATTTTACCTCAATAGGAGAGAAACTTGCGAACAAAATACCTAGCTCTAATGTTAATCCTGTTTCTTATATTCAATCCACACATACTGTGTTTTCTTTCGAGGAAATTGGTTTGTGCACTGTAAATTGTTTGTTAAAAACGATTAATGCTAACAAAGTGACCGGCCCTGGTAAAATACCAGGTAGATTATTGAAAATAGCAGCGGATATTCTTTCACACTTGTTAACTAAAATTTTTAATAGATCACTTTCCAAGGGGTTTATCCGACTGATTGGAAAATGGCAAAAGTCTTACCTATATTCAAAAATGGCGAAAAATGTGATCTAAGTCATTATCGTCCAATTTCAATTATATCGGCGGTTGCCACAGTTTTTGGTAAAACCGTTTATGATCAATTTTACTCCTAACTGTACTCCTATCTGACAAGTAACAACTTACTGTCAAACTATTAGTCTGGGTTTCGAGCATCATATAGTACCTTACAGCTTTATTAGAGTCGACTAATAACTAGTACATAAATATTGATAAGGGTTTGCTTAATAGAGTGATTTTCTTTGACATAAAGAAAGCTTTCGATACAATTGATCACGAAATTCTTATACGTAAACTCAAGTGTTATGGTGTGGATGACAATCTGCTATCATGGTTTAATTCCTATTTAAACAATCGAAAACAGAAATGCTACATAAATGGAAATTTCTCTGGTAGTTGTTCTATCTCCTATGGAGTTCTGCAGGGCTCTATTATAGGCCCACTTTTGTTTTTGATCTATATCAATGACTTGCCTAACTGCTTGAACAAGGGTTTACCTAGAATGTATGCTAGTGGTACAAACATCAGCATGCAAAGTAGTAATCTTTCTGAGCTAGAAAATCTTATGAATGCTGAAATAGCCAATTTAAACACATGGCTAGAGGCAAATAAGTTAAGTTTAAATATTGCCAAGACTGAATTTATTATAATCAGGATGTGGACGTATGTGTTAAAAATAAACAGATTAATAGAGTGCTGAAGTGTAAGTCATTAGGTTTAAGAATTGATGAAAACTTGACTTGGAAATATCATGTTGATAATATCACGAAAAAAGTCTCTTTTGGTATCAGCACTCTCAAACGAATGAGAGATTTTGTTACCACAGAAACTGCAATTCGAGTTCACCAAAGTTTGGTGGAGCCCTATTTTTCCTATTGTGCCCCTGTTTGGGATGGCCTAGGTAAAAAGCAAAGCGAAAAATTACAAACTGCATATAACTTCTTCCTGAACTTGATGGGGAAAGTTACTGAGTGACGGACATTTCCTCATCATCACTGTCACCGTTGTCCTCACTATCATGTTGTCAAATCTCTGAACTCATCAAACAATTTGTCAAGGTTATGAATGAACTTTTGTGTCAACTTGTACACTACCGCCCCATCCTGCCATCCCACACATTAACCTCCTCAACAGATATAACAGCAGGCTTGTCAGTTGTCTTGATCAAGCTTCCCATAATACGTTTTTGCAACACCTCTCTGTTGGTGCAAAACACATCCTTGATCAGGCTTGTTCTGATTATGGGAACAGTTCCAGCCAAAATCCTGATACATGGATGGCACCCACTAAAGGTTTTGCTTGATGGAACAGCCTTGTTAACCTGCAGTAACCACCATTTGTCTCCACTAGGAATGCCATTTTCTGTACCCAGATTTACTGCAGCAATGTCCCCTGCCAAAAGAACAAAATCATTGTTCACAACATTGTGCTGGTCCAGTTCACTGTTGCTGTGAATGCTCTCATGTAGCTCATCCATCAGTTGCTAAAAACTTGGGTAATATTGTTTGACTGCATCTGTTTCATCAAATGATGATGCATCCAGTTGATCCACAATACATGGTGCGTAGCCACACTTTGCCATGTAAACATCTCTTGCATTCTGTGTGGGAAGAGCTCTTGTTATTATATTCATTACTCTTGCCTTCTTTGAATAACAATGCAGCAGCATCTTCTTTGTTGAGAGGTGTTTGTATGGGTTAAAAAAGCTTTTCTTTTAATGTCTTTATATTCTTCTAAAACAGATGTGGACAGAAGTGACGATCTATGGGTTGCTTGGTATGCTTTGTATGCATTTGTGTGATAAGAGTGAGAGCACTCGCAGGACTTCTTTATTATCTCCTCTTCACAACCTTTTGCTCGACAATATTATGGATTGTAGGGTGGCGGGTATTGCTCACATTGATTGTGGTTTGCAAAATTGTGTTCTTTCCGGGACTCATTTGTAAATGCATAGAGATTAATACTTGCTATATATTGAATGCTTGGGAATGACACTGTAGTGAGGCAACGGATACTGCAAGCACTTCCAGTGTCTGCCTGTAAATGGAGCCATCTGAACCATCCAGGCAGCTCTTTCCAAGATGTGCTTTCCTCTTTAACATGATGCTTTGCATAAAACCCAGACTGCTTGCTAACTTAATCTGTCTGTCGGCCATAAGTCGACAAGATATAACAGACAAAAAAATGGAAAATGATCGGGTATGTGGTGAACATTTCCATTCTGGAAAGGCAGCTCCTTTGTGGGGTAAGTTTAATGTTGACTGGGTGCCTTCTCTTAACATGGGACACCAAAAATCAAACATAAACGAAGCATCTCTGCAACGAAGTCAGGATAAAGCTAAGAGAGTCGCTGAACAAAGGAAACACATGCATGACAATGCAGAAGAAATAGTCGAAGAGAAATTACAAAGAGTAAATGAACCTGGTGTGGTTGTTAAATTTCAGTTGACCCTATGACTATGGACACTGAAAGGATGATATCGAAGACATTGCAGAAAATGTGCCAGAAAACTTGAGAAACGCCATAACACAAACAGAAGTTTCAAGCACAACAGTTTGCATTCAGACAAGTGAGTCTCATAATTCTGTGCTTGACCCTGAGTCTTACTTTCAGAGTAAACCATATTCTGCTGACTTTGATGAAGCTTTTTTCGCTGGCAACGATCAAAAAGTAAAATTTTACACTGGTCTACCAAAGTCTTCTCTTTTGTCAAACCTCAAGTTGACAGACGTCCTAAGGTATTATCCACGTTTCAAGAATTTGTCGTGGTTTTGGTAAAATTGAGACTTGCTGTACCTCATCTTGACCTGGCATATCGTTTAAAAATTTCATCAGTGGTTTCTCAAATTTTGTTTACATGGCTGACTGTTGTGGATAGTCGCTTGTGTCCTCTTGTTAAATGGCCAGGTTGTGATGAATTGCACGCAACCATGCCTAGATGTTTCTTAGACTCATTTGGACATAAAACTACAGTAATCATTGATTGCTTTGAAATTTTTATTGATAGACCAACTAATCTTCTTGCAAGAGCACAGACTTTTTCAAGTTACAAGCATCATAACACAGTTAAAGTGTTAATTAGAATTACATCACAAGGTACAATTTGCTTTGTCAGTGAGGTTTGGGGAGGGAGGACTTCAGTTAAGTTTCTGACAAAGAAGTTTTGTTTTTTGGACAACTTTAATACCAGGTGGTTTGGTCTTGGTGGATAGGGGTTTCACTGTCCATGGAAGTGTTAAATTTCGCCAAGGCAAATTGAACATTCCAGCATTCATGAAAGGAAAAGACCAACTTGATCATGCTCATGTGGAACAGATAAGAAATATTCCCACTGTCCGGATAAATGTTGAAAGAATTATTGGTCTCACTGTCAAGCGATATGGATGTAATTGCAGAGTATTTTGATACAAATTAATTGTTAATAAATCTAAAGAAAGGGAAAACTGAAATGATGGTTTTTGGTACTGGAAAAAGATTATCTGCACAACCTCGTCAATTGAGAGTTGAATATAGAGGGCAACCTATAAATACAACACAGTCCTACAAATATCTTGGTTACGTACTTGATCCTGGTCTGACACTTTGAAAACTTTGGGGCAGCCTATAAAAAAGCTAGTAACCGAGTACGACTGTTATCAAGGATCCGTAACTATGTGACACCAAGTGTGGCGACGAAGATATATCAAATGATGATTGTACCAATAATTACGTATAGTGGGATGGTCAAATTATTTCTGAGACGAAGCGACGAAAGCTTACATCCATTGAAAACCGAGCACGAGCAATTACTGGTGAAGAAATATACTTGCCTGATTTGGATAAATTGATAAGAAAGAAAGCATGCGATGTTTTACGAAAATGCTTGGAAAAAGATATTTGCAGTAACTTCTATAATTATTTTGAAATTAATAACCATAGTCATAATATGAGAAACAGAAATAATATGATAAAGCTACCAAAAGTAAAGCTTGAATTTGGTAGACATGCTTTTCGCTTTGCAGCGGCAAGAATTTATAATGACTTGCCTTGCGAAATTCGAGCTGAAAAGGACAGCAAAATATTTCGGAAACTGCTAGAAAATTATTACCAATGATTAAATTATAGTATATATTATTAATATAGATTATTTAGTATGGACTATTTAGTTAGAGGACACATATTGATAACAGTAGATTACTGAAATGTTTATCCTCTGTAAAGATTTTGAAATACAAATACAATACAAAGACAGATATATAGCATTCTTCAACAAACTTTGCCAACTGATTACCTTATTTGCAGAAAAGGAGAATATGTTCCTCTCATTGACAGAATGATTCGAGTTTTATCTGCACAAGTAAACCTTTGCCCTCCTACTGTACCTTTTGATTGAAGTAAAAGTATTTTACAACATTATGTTTTCACCAAGAAACAGATTTAAAAAACATTCTTTTAACATTTGAAAAGTATTACTTTGATAAACCGTATAAATTTTTGGTGGTCAAGTCTGAGAACCTCTGCGTGGTGACCACTGGGCAACAGCATGTTGTGTAAATCAGGGATGGATTAGTAGGCTGGGCTACTGTACTTTAATTAATTGCATTTTGTCAAAAACAGATTCCTTTGTGTCTGAAAAGTAAAAAAACTACCCCTGTTTGTTTCACAACATGCTGGCTAATCTCAGCAATAATATTTCATGCAATTTATTTTTTATTTATTCAATTCTCATGGGGCTCGTCATATGTGAAATAAACATCCATTTTATCATTATAAGCCCCTCACTTGTGGGAGCCAAAGCCCCGCTTCATGATTTAGAGGAGATTTCATGAGAACGGATATAATTTCAACTATGTGAAAACCATGTCTGTTGGGACTGTAATTATTGCAGGGGAGATTAATTATTATATAATAATTTTAACAGTAAGTTCAATAAACATGCAAACTGGATGTTAGTGTCAGCTTTTTATTTATGTGCTCTCAGTCATTGGAAAAGGAGTAATGAGACCAGCTTTCAGGCAAGCATGCAAGTGAGCTTGCATCTGTAATATATTAAATTGTGGTATATTTAGATCGAATGTGTAAACAAGATTTGCTGGAAAAGCGATTGCAAATACACCACAATCGGAGCCATTTCACTGCTGCTGTATTGGTACAACATTAATTTCTTAAATCCTCTCCAACTAGATTTTCTACATGTTGTTGAAGATCATCAAGGATAACATCATAGACATGAGCTTGTTGTATTACAGTAGTTTCTAACCACCCAGTAGGTGATTCTATAACATCAAAGTCATGATTAGTGAGTGTTGCAAGTATACTATATTTATCAACTTGCTCAGCTTCATTAGTACCAAGGTAGACAATTACAGGTCCAATGTCAACAGAACTCTCAGGAGATGAAAATAGTTGAGGTTTGGTAGACTTTGTTGCACAAGTATTGTCCAATTTGCATTGATTACATGTCCACGAAGATTTATGGTTGTTTGGGTATCGCTTATATACGACATGCAGTGTAAATGAAAGAACTTCCCACTTCAGCAACTGTTATTATGACATTTCAGTAACTTTTGTCCCCAGAATTAACTTTTTTCTTGCACAAGCAGATAGTTTCCATAGAAGAAGCTTCCTCGAAGAAACTTGCACTTACATCATTCTTTTTGACCCCATTCTTTTTCACCCCTTTCTTACCACGGCCAAACTTTGGTAGCTTCCTGCAATGTGGACATAGCCATGTCTTAGATACACTTTGTAAGCAGAGGCAAGCAAGGTGGAATCTGGAAATGGGACAATCTGGATTTGAGCATGTTGCTGTTGGTTCATCACAGCTCTTCCTGCAGTAACAGTCGCCGCCATTTGGGTCTGGACCAATCTCTTCCTTCAAATCCATCTTTCTTGTGTACCACCTCCCAAGCATTTCTGGCAATATACAAGTTCTCCAAAACAATGAAAGCTTTGCCACCTGGGACACCATATGTTCAGAATCGGGAAAAATTCTCTCTTGAACTAACTTTGAACTGTTTGCAAAACAGATTGCAAAAACAACAAAATCACAGTAAGCCCTTTTGGTTATGTGCAGCTGCTGTTGGCTTTGATAATAACATGCATGATCTCTCTTCAAGGAAAACTTTTGACCATCTAATTGAAGACAGGCTGATTTGTTCTGACAATAGTTCTTAAAGTCAGTTCCTTCAATGCAGTATGGGCACTTAACTTCCCCACAACCGTATCCACAATCACATTCACATAACAAATCAGGGGTGGCATGAAGAAAGGGATGTTCTGGATCAATAAATGTTCCACATTTTGTTACTTTAAAATTAAGGTGATTCTGTTCCATGTGACTATGCTTCTATTGCAGTATGCTCCTATTGCAGTTTGTCCATGCTTAGAACCATGGATTGTTGCTGCTGTGTTGAAACGAAACAGATGTGGGTAACATATCGACTTGATTAGAGACTGTGATGGATCTGTATGAGAGGCAGCACAAGCTTTTGAGGCACCAATTCTACCAGTATGGTGTTGATATAAAGGCGTTGCTTTTTGATTGCTCCACAGTTTCTCTCTCAATTAAGGCAATGTCTTCGGGACTGATACTAAGTTCAACATTGTAGCATTCTTTTAAAAGATCGATGTAGTTAAGCTGCAGGAATTTGGGATCAAACAAATCTGCATAAGTGCTGATGTTCCTTGTTTTGGAAATAAATGTATCGGCATAAGGCTTCTCTAAACTCAGGCAAACAGGCTTAATTTTACACTCACTGAGCAATTTGTAAAATGCATCAAGTTCCTTTGCAGATGGTTTATTGAGAGGGGCCTTTGGCTTGTGTGCCTTTGCAGAAACACTGGTAGATTCCAAAGTTACTTTCGAAGTATCAGTAGTTGTACATGCAGCAGGATCCAAAGAATTGACAGTCTTTTAATAGTTTTGTTTGTGGAAACACCACATAAATTTATTACTGCATAATAATTAATTGACAGTCTTGTCGAGCTCACACTTCATTTTCTTTGCTGAGGTGAAATTTATGTCCTTTACTCTTAGATAATCGACATTCTTCACCGCTGTTGGCAAAATCCAGGAACATTTAACTTGGGTACATGTGAGCTTTTCGTTTAATCTTGTCGAGGCTTCCAAGTAGAAAAGAATGCTAGCAATATGCAAACAGCATTCTCCTAAACCCACCATACATCCATGACAATGCACAGATAGAATCGTTCTGTCATTTGTTGTAATTATCCACAGCTGAACAAGGCGGATCATTCATTTGTTGTGAGTGTCGAACTTTGCCAACAACCACATATTTATCAGAAAACATCTGACCTAAAATACTTGTTATAAAACCAGATACCGTTTGGTTGTATGCATGTAAGCTTCTAAAATTTTTGAATTGATCTTTCGTGTAAAAGCTCATTTCCAAAACAAGATACGATACAAGATCGGCTGCTTCTACAGGACTCAACTTTTCCTCGGTACTCAACTTTTCCTCTGGAATAAATAGAGGATCCATTCCAATAACCGATATTTTCTCAATATAATGCTTCCTAACAAAACTTTCGGGAAATTTTGCATATTCAGACAAAGGAATCTCATGAATAATTAATTACTTTTTCTGACTCGCTGTTTACATTTAGTTCCACATCGCTGGCCACCATGTTGGGACTTTACTCCACCAACATGGCGGCATATAAAATTAATTTATGCTGTGACGTCATATAAAACACACTATTGCATCATAAATGTTTGACATGAATTCTGTGGCAAAGCTGACTTTGAGTAGAGCTTTATGCACCCATGATCCCATCCTCTAATGCAACAAATTTGTGCAGAATTCATGTCAGGTTATTCCAGTTGGCTCATGAAGATCAGCAGTTGTAGCATTACTGCACCCAGCATCTCTACTGCCAATTACAGTCGGATTAATCCATGCACCTTCCATTCCATTTCAACAAACTCACTCTGTGCAACCCAACATCAGTTATCCCTATCTCACCATTTCTAGCAGCTGATATGCCAAAGGCTACCTGAAATCCTTGAGCAAGAACAGATGTTTCCTTCTAGCTGGTGTTGATCTCTTTGATCACATTCCCATCTGCGACCAAAATAGAGTTTGATTGCGTGGGATGAAAATAAAGTCCTCTGGGAGATTGCAAAGTATTCACAATACAACGCCTGACAAAAATGCATGCCAAAGCAGCAACATGCTTTAATTTCTTGAATTTTCATCCTGTTTCTACAAAATTTCCCATAAACATAGAACATGTCATTCTTACAAATTGTATGTTTTTTGTTTTTCGATTGCTACATTTTTGGCAGAAAAATAACATCACAAACTTGCCGCTAAAAAATTAACAGTTAGCTATTGTTACTTTTATGCACTTATTCGGTAGACAACATTGAGAGAGTCTTAAAACTGAAGTCTGTTTGAAATACAACCATTCCTTGCGAAGATATCAGACTCAAATTTCTAAAAATCAGCCATTTTCTTCTATTTTTAGTAACAAAATGGCTGATTTTTCGACATTTGTACCGCTATATCTTTGCGAGAAATAGTCTTATTTAGAAACAGAGTTCAGTTTCATGACTCTCTCAATGTCATCTACTGAATAAGTGCATAAAATTAACAATAGCTAACTGTTATTTTTTTAGCGGCAAGTTTGTGACGTCATTTTCCCGCCAAAAATGTAGCAATTCGACAAACAAAAACATACAATTTGCAAGAATGACATGTTCTATGTTTATGGGAAATTTTGTAGAAACAGGATGAAAATTAAAGAAATTGAAGAATGTTCGTGCTTTGGCATGCAATTTTGTCAGGCGTGATAGTAATCAACTGACCATGCAACAGAGACTCATCAAGTCGAATTAAACTCAACCCTATGCCTGCTGTTATGACCAGGGTTGTGGAATGGATATTAGTCCCTCTGGTCTCCATTTCTCTGGCGCAGGATGTATTTTCAGTGTCCCTGCACATTTGGGACCATTGATGGTTTTAATAACATTAATAAAGCAGATGACAAGGTTACCTTGATCAGAAACAAAACATATCTCTCTTTTTTGCTCACAACAAACCATGACATCCAATCCAGCTGGGTGACTGAACAATGCTTTTGAAATAGCAATCTGATTTTCATCAGCCGAGCCTGTCAAATTGCGGTTTTATTAAAATCACTGTATGGTCAAATTCCATCATATATTTTATGGGAAACATGATAACAAAGTGACTGTAATAACTTCAGAAATACAAGCGGCTACAGCTCAGGCTAACAGCTGTCATGTATCAATATAGTAATAGTATCAATGGAAAATATATGCAGATAACGTGAAAATATTGAATTTGACACTATAAAATTGTTAAAATTAAAAATCCATAATATCCCTTACCTACAATCAGGAGCAAAAATTATTGAGACAACCGCATAAATGCCCCCCTCACCCCCAATTCAATGTTGTGTGAATGACTGACAAGAGAAAATTCAATCCACTTTTTCCAACATTGATCATGGGGGCAGGGGGAGGCCAACATACTGTAAAATTGCCAAAAATGTGAAAAGTCTCATTTTTGCATGCGATTGTAAATGAATCTGTTGTTTCACTGACACTTGAATTTCTCTGTTGTCGATAGCTTTTGCCGCCCCTACAATGGCGACCTTTTTGTGTGCTGACGAAACTCGACAAATCATTGTCCAAACTCATTTCATGCAATGATTTTGCTCATTTATAGCGTTCTCACATGACTTGTACGCTATAAACTCTAAAAGCACTGCACAGCGATGTAAGATTAATGATTTACAATGCTGTTCTGGTTTCTGCAATGACTAATGACAATGTATCATGTGACATGTGCTGTGGGCATGTGTATAGATTGCTATTTGGATTCTGATACTTGTTTAATTTTGCGAACCAACAATGAAATATTCTATCGCTCATTTCCTTTTTAGTCCTTTTAGTGTTTAGGAACAGACTCAATCGAATATTCTACATAGTGCTCTACAATAACTTTATACAAGTGTTTTTCTCTCTCATTTTAGCACCATTTTTCACGCCTTGAGTGTGTCATTTATATTTTCCCCTTGACAGACGGCTTGAACCAATAAACATGACAAGAGCGAACTGACTTGGGTAGCCGAGCTACCTTGTTTTAGGCAAGAGATCCCACCTGTGTTAGCTAGTATTCCCTAATAAATTTCATTTTGCGTTTATTTGAGAACCGAGCTGGCTTGCCTAACTGAGTTCCCGATCTGTTACCAGGCTGGAAATTTCCCATAAGGCGGGCTGGGTGCATGCTATTGCTCTGTTACGGGCAGATTTCTTGACAGATCTCGATCCTAAAAGGTCTCTGTAAACTTTTGTCAGTGACATAATACAATTAAACCTTATATCCACACTGATCCCTAGCCTGCACAAGTATATCCTTAAATAAGTATAATAAGGGTTACACTAAGTCTTGCAGATTTTTGGTTTCAACCACTGGTTTTCATGGCGTTGAGTGTCGAGTTTATATTGAGCGATTTTATCTGTTTTACTCGAGGTTTTACTGTAAAACGTTTAATATTTTGATATTATCAGTTTGTTTTTATCCTGAAAATGCAGAAGATCTTTAATGGCTTTGAGTTTTATTTTGTGCCAAAGAAACAAATTCGTACTCAAGTTGAGATATTAAAGAAAAGAATAGAGGAACGTGGAGGGGCTGTCAGCAGCATGCAACAGCAAACAACAACTTGCATTGTTCTATCTAGAGGAGTATGTCACGAAAATTATATTCCAAATCCAGATTGTACACTAAGACAAATCCATATACATGTCGATTGGATAGCTGAATGTCTGAAGAAGGGTTCTTTGGTTTCATATTACTGCTTCCAATTGGTGAGTGTATTTTAAATATTTTGCGGTATCTGTGCAAAAACAAGAGGATAGTATATACACTATAAATATGTGTTATAAGTAGGATTTGAGTTTCATAACTTGGTTTTTCTTTTTCAACTTTCAGCAAATCTCAAGCCAGGGTGGAACACCTGATGAAGTACCAGAACCTGAAGTAGCATCCAAAAGGCAAAAAACAAAGCCAGAAGGTAACCTTTAGTTAATGGCATGCATCAATCCTGAATTATCTATGCTATATCAACCTGAATGGAATGCATCAATCCAGAATTATATATGCCTATCTATGATATTAGGCCGTATTCTGTGACCCCAAAAGTCGCTTAGAAAACAAGTTTCGTTGTCCCCATTGGGGGTCTACTTTTAGTTTACATAAATCTATAGATTTTGATACGCTGAGTACGAATTCAGTTGTTGTAACTCGCACAGACCTGCAGTTTTTTGTATTTTACGATCAAACATCAACATTTTTTATTAAAATTTCTGCCATTTTGTTCAGGAAACTTCATGTTATATACAGTTATTGTACTAGTCCAAGTCTCTTAGCAGGGGGGTTGCACGCGGTATTACACAGTTTGTTATCATTCTTCTGAGAAAAATATACAGAAATTAAATAAAAATATAGATATTTTTTTCACAATATAAATGCAAAAGGTACTGGTACATGTTTGTAAATAATTAGGAATTAATCTATTATTCTTTATTGCATCAACTTTTGTTTTTTTTGGCTAATCATGATGTGAAATTGCAAAGACTGTCACTATATCCACAAAGACTCTCACAGCTAGTCTCACTTGTCATTGGTAAAGTTGTTTATTTTATTTATTACTGAAATTATGTACATAATTTTGGCCTAACAATTTGAAAAGGCAATTTTCCTGGATACTGTCTACCTGAAATTTTTGTCAACAATAAAGTTTTGAAGGTTTTATCCCTCAGAAGAGATTTCAAAATAAATTTTAACTTTGAAATCTTCTAATGGGGTGTTTATATAGAGGTGAGCCAGCCCATCCACCCGAGCTAGCTCTCTTTGCTGAGCTGATTTTATCCCATGTTTACATTAGACCCTTGAGGTGGGCTGTCTTGCCAAAACAAATCGCTGGTCTTACCGCTATAAATAGTATAATATAAGTAAATATATTTTTATTTTTCAAGATCTCACCTAGGCAGGCAAGATAAATGTTAGTATAAATTACATAGCAATGTTAGATCTCGGCAAAGCAAGCTAGCTCGGGTATCTGGGTTGGCTGCCCTCCATATATAAACACCCCCTAAGAAAATAAAGAAATGTTATTTATATCAATAGATTGATGTGAATTATGTATTAATTATTTAATGCCCAGCTGTTATCCAAGATCTAAGGCTTGGAAAAGAGTCTTGGCCAGGCAGGCCAGCCCAAGAGGAAAGAAGGTTTATATAACTAAGGCATATTGGTAGGTAGTGATGCCAGATTACTTTAAATTTCTATTGTCTGCCTGGTCAAATATAAAATATCCCTGAATCCAGTAGTTCAGTTGGTAATTAATGGCAGCTCAAATAGGATTAGAGCTTAAGGTGATGATGGATCATGACAATATGTTGTATTTAATATTTTTTTTACACATTTAAACCTCAAATGGCTCGATCAATTAATGTTTCTAGGTGGCATGACTTTGAGATTTGTTCCAGCACGCCCATGCTTGCCTCAACAGTACAGATAGGTACAGATATTTCACAGCACACTCCCTAACAGGGCTTTTCAGTGACTGGTTACATTATGAATAGATAGATAGAACCGGACTGACGTGAAGCAGACCAAGGTAGACTTTGAGCTTACAAATGGCGCTTGAGCAGCCGCTATTAGTCCATACCTCATTAATGATCTGCCTCCAGACCTATCCTATGTGCCTAACCCACCCTGTCAACTTTCCCTGTGGGAGGAAACACGGAGTACCTGGAGAAAACCCACGACTTTCGGCAGAGCGTTGACTTTTACTCTTTTCACATGAGGACTGGGTTCGAGTCACATTGAGAAGCTCTCACTGAGATTCGAACCTGCGGCCTTAGAGGTGAAAGGCAAGTGCGCTAACCACTTCGCCACCAAAGCCCCTCACATAAATTGAAAAACCAAGCTAGGCCGGTTGTTATATTTTAGCTGTAATAATTCTAAAATTAAACAAGACTTACCTGTAAGTTGAAGTTTGATTGGGATTCTACTAGTCATCAGTCAGGAATGAAGGAGTCACATGAGAAGCGTGTGCGTGCTTCGCTGATCAGTTTTTAAAGTGAACGGTTGCAGGAATGAGGAACGAAGAGTCACAGGAGGGAAGGGCCTGGTACAGAGTACCTGGGCATGTGACTCCTTCGTTCCTGACTGATGACTAGTAGAATCCCAATCAAACTTCAACTTACAGGTAAGTATCGTTTAATTTTAGAATTCTACTACGTCATCAGTCACGTCACTACGGAGTCGCATGAGATTTCAAAGTCCTGCGACCGTGAAGAACCCACTCCAACACATGAATGGATAAACAAAATGTATTTGTTTTAGTAACCCAACTACATTATAACTACTTAAACTGTTGTTACTGTTTCAACATCTGCTGTGTTGAGAATTGTTGAACCAAAATTTTCAGTTTCAATATGTTTATCATAAAACTTTGCAAAGGTAGAGGAATTGGACCAGCCAGCAGACTGCATTATTTGTTTTAAATTAAGTCCTGCTGCTTTGACACAAGACGTTGATGCAGCCCGGGTGCTGTGACACGTGAATTTATCTGTATCAATTCCCGATTGCTGTAGTACTGATTTGACCCATCTGGCAATGGTGTCTTTGGTTACCGCTTTATGGGGCTTTACGAAACTCACAAATAGTTTTGATTGTTCACCTCTGAGAACAGTAGTTCGTTTGATATATTCTTTAAGGTACTCTAACACACAAACTCTTTTGTCCCTTGGGTACGAGCGAAGTTCCAAAGGCACTTGGTGTTTTCCAGCCTTAGTATGCTTTAAAACTTCTCTAATTGTGATAATGCATTTGTCCGTTTCCAATTGGATGAAGTTCATATCTATCTTGTGTATCGTTTGACATCTTTGTCCTGTTAGTAGACACAATAAAGTGGCAAGATTCATTGTAAGATCTTTTAAACTGACTTCAGAAACTGAAGTAAACTGTTGTAGGTAACAAATAACTTTATTTACATCCCAAATTTCAGCGTATTTTGGGAGGCAAGGTTTCAGTTCAAATACCCCTTTTAGAAACCGGCAAACTAAAGGGTCCTTTCCAAATGGAATCCCTGCCGTGGGTATTATCACTGACGATAGTGCTGATCGAGCAGTGTTTATAGCACTATATCCTACACCTGAATCATATAGTTCCCTAAGAAATTCGATAGCATATGCTTTCCCAGGATTGTGAGGTGCAACATTTTCTCGGTTACAATATTCCTCCCATCGTAAAAGATATGATTTATATTGTTTCTGAGTGCCTTTACGCCAAGAAGCCATTATAATTTCTTTTGTGGACTCTGACAGATTTTGGAGCTCTAAACTTTCCCGGATAAGAGGCAAATCATCATTGACAGTTTTATGAAGAATGGATGTGTCTCGTTTGGATGGCTGGGAAGTATCAAAAGGTCTTTTGACGCTTGGAAATGTATGGGTGGTTTTCCCCCCATGAGAACGACTTTCGCATACCAAGGTTGTGTTGGCCAATTTGGTAGCACAGCCACCCCCATTGCTTTGTCTTCCTTGATCTTGCTTAAAACAGTCCCAATAAGACTGAAAGGAGGAAAAGCATAAAACATGAGTGAGCTCCATGTTAGGGTAAATGCATCTACTGCTGATGCCTGTGGGTCTGGTCTGTATAAAACATATGTATCAGATTGTATATTAATTCTTGAGGCAAATAGGTCAATACTTGGTGAGTAATCTAAGTCTTTTAATGCTTTGGCTAAACGTAGTTTATCTAGCATCCAGTCTGATGCCTTTGCATTTCTTCTTGATTCAAAATACGCAATAAATTTCTTGCCC